TAAATGTGATCAAGTCATGATCACTTGTACCTAAACTACCATTAATTTTTAGTTCTGTGATCAGTTCCTCTTTATCTGTCCAGACGAGATCCAATATAGAATTCTCCCATGTTGGATGCAGCACTTTTTGAGTTAGGAAATTGTCATCTATAATCTCTAGAAATTCTAAGGATGTTTTAGTACTGGCAGCATGACACCTCCAGCATGTGTCACTCAAATTGAAGTTCCCTGTGAGCATGCAGCTTTTTCTCCTGCACATTATAGATAGGTTTGTAAGAGCCAGACATCCTGTTTCCTAGTGTGATTTGGTGGTCTGGAGCAGATACCAAATAATATCTTGTCTTATGTTTTATCTCTTAGGACATTGATCCGTAAGTAGGGCCCTACCAAATTCACGGTCCATTTTGGTCAATTTCAAAGCCAGGTTTTTTTTTTAAGTCAGTCAGTTTCACAGTTTCAGATGCTTACATTTGAAATTTCATGGTGTAGTAACCGTGGGGGTCCCAGCCCAAAAGGTAGTCGGGGTCGGGGGTTGCAAGACTATTGTAGGGGGGTCATGGCGTAGCCACCCTTACTTCTGCCCTGCTGCTGGGCACCCAGCTCTAAAGCCAGCACCACCGCCAGCAGCAGCAGCAGCGCAGAAGTGAGGGTTGTAGGGTATGGGAGGGGTGGGTTACCACATGTCCAGTTTTCCCAGCAGCCTCCTGCCCATGCAGGGGGGTAACAGCTCACACCATGGAGCTTCCTGCAGCCGGAGGAGATCCTGGAGGTGGGTCTGGAGCAGCCCCTATAGGGGAAGAAGTCCTGTCCCGCCCCATCCCTGGCTGGCACTAGCAGCGGGAGCCCTGCGCTGGATAGGAGCCCCCGGCTGGGTGCCAGGTTTTATGGGGCAGATCAGATTTCACGGTCTGCGATGCGTTTTACACTGCCATGAATTTGGTAGGGTCTTATCCAGACGCATTTGGGATCATTTTCTTCTGAGTTATCAGTGATTCAGAAACAGGTAAAGCCATTTTTTCACCTAGATTGCCACTCCCCCTCGCCTTTTGCCCATTTGATACTTCCTAAATAGGTCATAGCTATTGATTTCAACATTCCAGTCGTGCAAATCATCCCAGCAGGTTTCAGCAAGACCAGCTAGATCAAATTTATGCTCCTAAATGAGCAATTCCAATTCCTCTTGTTTCTTACCCAGGCTTGTAGCATTGGTGTATAGCAGGGGTGGGCAAACTACGGCCCGCGGGCCACATCCAGCCCGCGGGACCGTCCTGCCCAGCCCCCGAGCTCCTGGCCCGGGAGGCTAGCCCTCGACCCCTCCCCCACAGCCTCAGCTCGCTCTCCCACCGGTGCAATGCTCTGGGAGTCAGGGCTGTGAGCTCCTGGGTGGTGTGGTGGCGGTGGCAGCGGCGGTGTGGCCCGGCTCCAGCCGGGCGGCATGACTGTAGCGCCGCCAGCCACCGGTGCTCCAGGCAGCGCGGTAAGGGGGCAGGGAGCGGGGGGGTTGGATAGAGGGCAGGGGAGTTCGGGGTGGTGGTCAGGGGGCGGGGGTGTGGATAGGGGTCGGGGCAGTCAGGGGGGAAACAGGGGGTTGAATGGGGGCGGGGCGGCAGTCAGGAATGATAGGCGGGGTTGGATGGGGCGGCGGCGGCCGGGGGCAGTCAGGGGACAGGGAGCGGGAATGTGTGGATGGGGCAGGAATCCCGGGGGGGGGGGCAGATAGGAGGGAGGGCCCTCCATACAATTTACGGAACCCGATGTGGCCCTCAGGCCAAAAAGTTTGCCGGCCCCTGGTGTATAGGCAATGAAAGAACGTCTTCTCTTTGTGTCCTTTGGTTCCTTAATTAATTTGCTTCTCAACATCTTGATTTTGTGCTCAGTGCTTACATCTTTCCGCCTTTTACCCTCCCCTTTTGTTATTAATGTAACGTCCTCCTGGCTCCTCTAGCCAGCTTGGCCCTGAGGAGATTGGTCCCCCATGTACTGAGGCGGAGGCTATCCAAAGCTCTCCCCATAGAAGGTGGACCGATGTTCCACAAAACCAACACCTTCCATCCTACATCACTTACCTGGCCAGTGATTCACTTCCAGCATCTTCTGCCTTCTGACATCATTGGCTCATGGGACAGGAAGCTTCTCAGAGAAGATCTCATGGACGTTCTTCTTCAGCACCCTTCCACGTTCCCTGAAGCCATCTGTTATCTCCTGGGATGCCGTGGCCTTAGTGCTTACGTGACCCATCACCAGTGGATCCTGGCCTGGCAACTTCAGAAGCCTGTCGGATCTCAGAGAAATGTCTCATGTCTTGGCTTCAGGAAGGCAGCACTCAGTCCTATAGTCCATCTGTCCCTGGCAGAATGTTCTTTTAATTCTTCTGAGTATTGAACCCCCAACGAGGGTTGTCTGTCTACCTTGGATGGCTGCAGAACTCTTCGTGGGCAAGCTTGATTTTCTTACAGCTGCCATCCACAAGTATGTCCCAAACAGCTCTCTCTTCTGTTGGACCAACTGGGTCTTGAAAGGTATCTTCTAGTTTCCACATTGAGGACCTGGTATTGATTGGAAACTTCTAGCTGGGTGGAATTCCTTCCACTACTCTTCTCTGTGGTGGCCACAGCCTGTGCATCCTTGTCTCCCACCATGTAGAATGCCTCTGTGACCATTAGCTGTGATGGTTATGAACTGTCAGGCCTCCTCTCTGACTTCCTCTCTGTCTGACTCCCTTGTGGCCAGCTCCTTTCTTCATTGAAGCTGGAGTCCCGACATGTCCTGAACTGGCTGTCTAGGAACTCCGAAGCGTCTCTGATTCTCAGTGGTGTCTCTACTTGCCCCTCCAATCCAAGAATCTTTTCTTCCAGCACATCCACCAATTTGCACTTCATGCACAGGAAGTCCCTTCTGGCATCAGGTAGGAAAGGAAACGGGGTGCCTCCATTACAAGTCACCACCATGGTTCCACCGCCGCCCATCGTAGAATTGCGTGTAGAGCTGACCCTGGAAGGAAAGCCTCTCACGCTCCCTCTCTGAACTCCCTCCCAAACGCTCCTGTTAGCTGCCACTTCTCGTGGCTCTTGAGTTCTCCTGACAAGTGACTTTTTATACCAAGGGTCAGAGCCTTGCGGCCTTCGCCAAAGCATCCACAGACAGACCGGTCTCTGCCATGCAGCCCGTACATAGAGAAAAAACAAACAACCCACAGATGGGCCAGGCGCACCACTCACCATGCCCCACTACCTCCAAGCACAGAGTCTGCAGCTACGCCCTCTGAAACTGCCTTCTTCACGGCCCAACGGTTGGATTTACTTCATGCTGTTTGGGACCCACAGCAAGCAGGCACCAGACTGCTCCCGTGTCCTCTATCCCTCTCTGCTGAGCATTGCCATGCTTGACGGGGTTTTGCTTCTCTTGCTGGCTACACATTACAGACCAAATAGACACACTTAACAGGGTACTGAAATTTGCCATAAAGTTTACTGCATTGCATCAGTCTAATGCCCCACGCAGTTAATATGGAGATAGATATTTTATAACAGGGAAAATAAAAACAGTTTGTCTCCTATTAGACTCCAGATGTTAGGAGTCGTATTTCCGATGGCCAGATGCGGCAATGAAATGGGTGAAGAATGTTCATACATACATATCTATAGGAGGGACTATTGGATTTGTTCAAGAATTCTGTGGTGGTCCAAACGTTTTAGTTCCACGCCGCGGGAGGGACCGGTAAATCCAAAGGCACTTCTCTGTGCTATTACATGGTGTCAACTTTTCAGCATGCCTGAGCCCCTCGGCATGGAAAATGAGTAACTTATAAAAAAGCAACGGATTCCCGGTCAGCACTAAACACCCGGATAGAAATGCAAGGAGTAAAAAGCAAAGGGAAAACAGCCAGCTTTCATTTACAGCCCTTTGCAACATGCTGAGCTTCAGAAATCCTGAGCTCACTCAGTCCCCACTGGCTTTTATGGGAGCTGCGGGTGCCCAGCACTTAGAAGGATGAGACCCTTTGCAGGTATGTGCTTCCTACTCCTCTACCCTGGAGGGGGTAAGTCTTGCTCAAACCCAGGTGCCCTATGACCCTGAGCATGCGTTCTCTAGCAGGGAAGAGCTGTCTCGCGCTGGAGATTGGCACGCTTGGGAGCAGACGGTGCTGAGGTTAGCTGAGGATGGCAGAGTCAGTTGTTTGCCGCTGTGAGTTTGTTACAGCGCAGCCAGGTTTCAGAGCAAGGCTTAAGGGGGGATACTTTGGTGCGGGAAGGAGCTCTGGATCTTTCCTCCTGCTTAGCTGCCCGTCACTCACTGCCCAACCCCGCCAGTGCCATGGGCCAACTGCTCCCTGCCAGCGGCTCTGAGCTGAACAGTTAAGCCATGGGTGGCTGGGGACATGCATAGTGTGGCTGGTCGCTTGTCTCCTGTTATGTCACCTAAATATCCAGGCTGCCAGCATCTGCATCTTACATCAACTGCAGCGGGTATAACCGGAGCCACGCAAAGCAGAGCATCAGGCAGAAGGAACCGGTCAGCACCGTGATAGCGCCGTATGGCCACCCTGCAGTGACTGTGCGAGTCCCCCGTGGTTCTTACCCAGACCTCCCGAGAGGCCCAAGTCTCATGGGACTGTCCCACTTTGCCTGGTGGAAGTAGAACTTTCCCCACAATCAGAGACGGCTCAGTACAATCTGCCGCCCTAGGCAGCACGTCGGTGTGCCGCCTCCCCCGCCGCTCAAATTCAGCCCAGCAGCCCCGCTGTCTTGCTGGAGAGGCCAGTGGCGTTGCAGCCTGGCGTGCTGGGCCGCAGCGCCACTCAGGTTTAGCCCGGCTGCTTCTCGGTCCTGACGGAGGGGCGGCCAGACCAGATTTCAGGAGAGGCGGGTTTGCAGGACCAGTCAGGTTGGGCCCAGTCATGAGAGAGGGGTGACTTGAGCATGTGGCGCCCCGCGTTAGTCCCTTGACATAGTACAGCACCTTGCCCCATAGCTCTCCACACTCGCCAGGCAGAGCAGGGATCACTGGTGCTCACAGTAACAACCTAACGTCATCTCAGTTTCTCTCAGCCATCGGACACCGTCATTTGGATTCCCAGCAGCGGCTTCATTCTGGAGCAGGCCCCAGACGCCGTCATTCTGGGGTGGCTCTTTTTCAAAGAGCTCCTGGCCCCGCCGCTCTCGCTGGCTGCCGGAGGTTAGCGCTGGAGCCCCTCGCTCACACTCGTCACGTCGCACGCTCTTGGCAGTTTCACCGCACTGCCAGAAGGGAGACAGGATGCGACTTTGCTGGCTCCCAGGCCCCCTGCAGCGGCCAACCCACCGGAAGCCAAGATTTCAGCAAAGGGGCTTTCAGATCTGCTCGGCTGGCACCCCAGGCCTGAGCAACGCGTCTTTGCTTCTTTTCCTCAAGCGTTGCCCAAAGATGCTGGATTTCATCGTTCTGGAGACTGAAGATCTCCAGTTATCCCGGGACAGCCTCGACCGCAGCATCTCGGGATTATGGCTGACCAAGCTTCCCCACCCAACCTGGCCTCACACCTGCCCTGGAGGGACCCCCTCTAAAAACAGTCTAAATCACAGGGCTGGAGCTAGCACCTAAAAATAGCCATGTGTCCGGGGCTGACTCCGTCACTCAGGGGTCAGGCGGGATTGTACTCGGGGCAGCAAGCCCAAGCGCCTAGCCCAGCCGGCCACTGATGAGGCTGCAGACACTGATAGCAGAGCTAGTTCGGAAATCACACCTTCCAGCCCAAACGTACACATCCCATAAGCCAAACTCCTGTGTCCTTGTCCAAAGCAAAGTTACTGCTGGGGAAGCCAAGAAAACCCATTGTCACGAGTAGGGAGGCAGGTGCAGTAGACAGAGCTTAAAATGAAAGCCCTGAAAGCCTTAATACTGCCTCAGCAGGGTGGAGCTGCATCAGATGCTCTCTTGAGATCCCTTCCAGCCCTGAATGTCTATGTTTCTATTTGAGACTGGTATTCCTGCTGGAGACCAGCCCGAGACGCTAACAAAACCCCATTGTGCCCCCAAATCGAATCCCGAGCCCTCAGCTGTTACAGTTTAGACAGTGTGAGGGGAAAGTGCATGCCAGCAATCAGGCATCCAGAAGGGAATTCACTCCCAGTTCAATATTTAAAGAATCCGGCTTTGAAAGAAGAAATACGCTCATGTTCCCTTTTTGTCCTTTGCCAAGAAAATGGGGTTGGGGGGGAAGCAGTGGAAAATATGTGTTGGCTGGCCCTGGTTTCCTTTTATCTCACAGGCATTGTGCTGGGATGGGGTATTCCCCCCGCTGAGCCAACTGTCAGATCAAATGAAAGCTTAAAAATCAGAAAAGAATTATACCCCTCCTCAAAAAAAGGGAGGAGAAGAAGAAGCCATTGTCAGGCCTGCACCGAGATTCCTGAGATGTGGAGAGGGGCAGGGCCCCACAGCCTCCATGCAGCAGGCTCCAGGCAGATGCCCCTCTCCGCACCACATGGCACATGCCGAAGGACATGTGTGCCTGAGGCTCGGGTCTCTGCAGCCAATCAATGAGTCTGCTGAGAGCAGCAGAGAGTTTGGAAAGGGCCCCGGTATTATAAAAGATTCCATAATTGGCCATTAAAGAATTTCTTTCATGTGCCTCTGAAGCCACTCATGCTGGCCCCCATCAAAGACAGTACGCTGGGCTACGGCTTTGGGGCTGAGCCTGTCTGGCAGTTCCTAGGGTCATATGAAACTATGCTAATGCGGAGGAGATGCATGCAGGGTTCAGAGAAGAATCTCCAAGTCCGGAAGCCCTTCCAAGCTTCCCTAACCCCACGGCCAGCCCACAACATTTTGGCACCTGAGGCGGGGAGCTCAAATGATGCCCCCATACTGCCTCACTTGGGCCAAAACTTTGAAAGGTCTCAATTCTGCCTTCTTCTTGTTCTACTCCTCTCATGGTACTGCTCTGCTACCTACCCCAATAAAGGAGAACTAACATCTTAAAATGCCTTGTTCAAAAATTTTAAGTAACACTTAACTTTCAAACGCCTGAACAGCAAATATAACTTTTCTTGTCTGCATAGTAAACACTGGCATTTTTATCTGTTTGAATAATCAAAGTGGTGCTTTCAGTGTCTTCTTGTTTGCAAAGATCTGAATTGCTTCCTGCTGAAGGTCCACAGTCTGGGCCAGCTCATGCTCTATTGAAATGGTTGCAAGGCCGACCAACCTCTCCTGTGTCATTGTGGAGCGTAGATGTGTTTTTATTAACTTCAGCTTGGAGAAGCTGCGTTCTCCACTGGCAACTGTTACAGGAAGTGTTAGAAGTATGCGCAGAGCAACAAAAGCATTTGGAAAGAGGGTGGTCATCTTATTTGTGCACACATATTCCAGAACAACCTTTGGAGTTGATCCTGCTGAAATGTATCTTGAAAGGGCTTTCAGTTTCATAGAATATCATCACCTAAGTCACTCGCATCAATGTCGTGCATGTCGTCACATATCAACACTGTCTCTAGTGCCCTGCATTGCTGGTGTAGGTCTTCTTCAGGTATAGTGAGGAGTTTTGGAATATCCTACAACATCCCAAATATACTGCTGTGTTCCTTGAATTGCATGAAACGTTCTTCAACTGACTGTATTGCACAATCTAGCACCTGGTTAAAGAATTCAACTTTGAATTGTTGTTTGGGGTCTCTTATGGGATTATCCCGTGCCTCGTAATCAAAATGTCTTCTTCTTCGGTGACTCTTGTATTCTTGAATAGGTGGGAAAATAGCTTCAGTGTGAAGTTCCTCTGCCAAGTTCTGTGCACTCTCAGAACGTTTTGAAATCCCTCATCTGACCGGTAAGACTGTAGGTATGACTTTGCTTTGTCCAGTTGTTCCATTGCTCCAGATATATCAAGGTCAACACCTTGGAGTCTCTTGCTTACAACATTTATTTCAAACAGTATGTCATGCCACAACACTAAGCCACACAGAAATTTGAAGTTATGTATGTTTCTGGGTGATTCCATTTCCCTCTGCCACTGTTCTCCCACGAACAGTTCCTGTCATAGCATTATCCTCCATAATGGCAACTATGGCATCATCTATCTTCCCAATTTGGTGTTTGATAGGCTTTATCGCCTCCACTCGACTTTCCCATCGTGTGGCACTCAGTGGTTTCAGTGTCAGAGAGGATGTTCCCAGATGTTGCTTCAAAATTTGCCATTGATGAGTTGATGCAGAGAAAAATACATAGGTGCTTTGAATTACATTAAAAAATTTAGCAGCCTCACTAGAAGTTGATGCTGCATTACTGACCACATAGTTCAATAAATGAGAATTTCATGGGACAAAAAAAGCTCGAGGGTTTAACTCTCGGATCCGTGTCTGCACTTCCTCTGTTCTTTCCTCTCATGTTGGCACCATTATCGTAGCCCTGACCTCTCATGTCAGCTATCGCAATTTCCATATCTTTCAGCTTTTTAAGAAGCACATTTATCATACCAGCTCCTGTAGTATCATCAATGTCAATAAATTCTAGAAAATGCTCTCTGACAGTCACCATTGCAGGGACATTTTCACTAGGTTCTGTTGTTACAAAACGCACCATTAAAGTCATTTGTTCCATATGGCTGATGTCAGGTGTGCAGTCCAGAATAACAGAGTAATATCTTGCTGACTTCAGATCTGCCACAATCTTCTGTTTGACTTTTGTTGCCAGCAACTGTATGATCTCATTTTGAATTGTTTTTCCAAGGTAGTGGTGTGTGTACATTTCTTGGGTGGTGACTCTTCTTAGATGCTCCTGGAGTACAGCATCAAACTCAGCCATCAACTCCACAATTTTAAGGAAGTTTCCATTGTTTGGCACATACAGCTGATCTGAAGTGCCATGCAGTGCTAGGTTTTGGGTAGCAAGCATTCTCACAATGGCAATGAGCCTTTTCAGAACATTTTGCCACTAAAGAGACTCTGATGCAATCTTCTCTTGATGCTGATCATCTATGGTGGCCTTTAACCTTAGTCTCATCTCTGAGATGAGGAAGCTTTCAGAAGGAAGAAAATATGGATGGTGAACGATCAGCTGTTGTGACCTGCACAGGATGTGCCATGTTTGTCTTTCTTCCACAGGACAAAGAAGCGACTTTGTCTGTACAAAGTGCAAGCTGGTCTCCATATTGGAAGAGAAGGTTCGAGGTCTGGAAAAACAAGTATCGACCCTGCGTTGCATAAGAGAAAATGAAGATTTCCTGGGCAGACGTCAGGATGTGCTTCTACAGGCACAACGTTCTGAAGAATCAGAGCAGGCTGCGCAGCGGGGACAGAGGGATGGTGAAGAAATTTGGCAGCATGTGACCTCCAGAAGAAGGAAGAGGAGCGTCCATGTACCAGCAATGCAGATACAGGTGAGCAACCGTTTTCATGTTCTTTCCACAGGTACTAATGCAAAGAGTGGACTAGATGATACATCTGAGGGAAGGGAGCAGAAGGAGACTCCGCTGATTGGCATGAGATGCACTGTCGTAGGGACGGGGGTTCCATGACCACCGCTCCCAAGGGAAGGAGGAGGGTGGTGGTGGTCGGGGACTCCCTCCTCAGGGGGACTGAGTCATCTATCTGCCGCCCCGACTGAGAAAACCGAGAAGGGTGCTGCTTGCCAGGAGCTAGGATTCACGATGTGACGGAGAGACTGCCGAGATGCATCAAGCCCTCGGATCGCTACCCCTTCCTGCTTCTCCACGTGGGCACCAATGATACTGCCAAGAATGACCTTGAGTGGATCACTGCAGACTACGTGGCTCTGGGAAGAAGGATAAAGGAGTTTGAGGCACAAGTGGTGTTCTCGTCCATCCTCCCTGTGGAAGGAAAAGGCCCAGGTAGAGACCGTCGAATCAGGGAAGTCAACGAATGGCTACGCAGGTGGTGTCGGAGAGAAGGCTTTGGATTCTTTGACCATGGGATGGTGTTCCAAGAAGGAGGAGTGCTAGGCAGAGACAGGCTCCACCTAACGAAGAGAGGGAAGAGCATCTTCGCAAGCGGGCTGGCAACATGATGTCACCTCTTACTGAGGGGTGGAGCAGTCCCTTAGTCACAGTGCATCATTGGAGATGTACTCCAGTCAGGTAGCCCAGCCCACAGAGGAGAAAGGGGACAAGAGGCACCCAAACGACATGTCGCAAGATGCAGCATGATCTCCCCTTTTTTGTGAAGGGTGGGGGTGCATCATGGCAGTCCTTGTTCACAGTGCATCATGGGAGATGTAGTCCAGCCAGGCAGCCAGCCCATAGAGG